AATGATTCAGCACAGGACTCAGTGACTGTGACACACGCTTTACCGGCACACTTGACACGAAAACAAAAATTATAATCTGCTCTAAAGGCACTACAGCCCAACAGCAAACTATAAATAGAAGATGAAAGAATATTTAGTCCCATATTTCAAATGCCGATATCTGGATTTTATGTTATACACAAATACAGTTGGCTCCAAAAGTCTGAGAGCACTAACAAGGAAAAATCTTTCATCTTTAATCTATATTATAATATTTGAGTGAAAAAGTCTGAAAATTATTTTCAGAGCAAATTACAAATTACAAATGTTCTCTTATGTTCACCAAGGGTGCATTTATTTGAAAGATTCATACTGTATTTATTCAGTATAGTAAAATTGTGGAAATATTATTGCAATTTAAAGTATCAGTTTGCTATGTTAATATATTTTAAAATGTAATTTATTCTTGTCATGGAAAAGCTGAATTTTCAGCATCATTACTTAAGTTTTCAGTGTCACACGATCTTTCAGAAATCATTCTAATGTCCCTAATTTGCTTAATATTTTTGTGGAAACAGTGATACTTCTTTTCCCCCCATGATTCCTCGCTGAATATAAAGTTCAAAAGAACAGCATTTATTTGCAATGATGCATCCTCGCTGAAGAAAAAAACAAACAATCAAATTTTGGAACGTACAGTATATAACACGTGAAAAAGTGAACAAAAAAAAAAAAGAGTTGAATGAATGCCATTTAGATTTGATCTGCGTCAAATTAATAACCACAGCGTTGAGCTTTTTAAAACAGTTTGCTCCAAACAACATTGTGTCATCAGTTCTGCAAAAGCATCCATGCCTGGCTGTTTTTGCTTTAAGATGATGAATGGTGTAAACAGGCATAGTTACTGATAAAACAACCCTGAAACCCAAACAAGCTGTATGCGGACATTAAATGGCTCAAAGGAAGTATCCCGTTATCCCTAACTCAATAACAGCGAATTAACAGCTTCCTGTTGCACCTTGTTTTTCCTTTCAAAACAGTCAATGAACATACGCAAAAAAGAAGACCACCAAGTTTTGTCAAACCGACTCTGAATTTCCTGAAAGCTCAAAGCAAATGTGACCGCCTCAGTCCAGACGGCTTTTTCCATCGCACTCCTCACATCCTCGCGCATGACCGACACAGAGCTTAACCGCTGCACAGCATGGCTACCAAAGCCACATGTACCCTAAACACTCCTGTGAATGGAAACCATACAACAACAGTTATGCGTCAAAAAGCATTTTCCTTTGGCTTTCGTTCAGTTATAGGTAGAAAAGGCAGATGGACAAAACAACTTAGCAGAAATCAGCACCTAAACAAATGAATTAACAACTAACAATGCCATGAACCTAATGCGAGGGGATGTGTCTCCTAAAATAGATAGAAAAAAATCCACAATTAAACTAGGAGAGAAGAAAGCCAGATTGTGGTTTCTATTTTTACAGAGTGCCAGCTCTGAAGGATGTGTACTTCTCTAGTTCCTTCCCTAAATCAGAGAGTTGTCACAGGAGACAATTGCCAGTCTACTGTTGTGGCTACTGCTCTGCAGCTTTTCTTATCAATCATTTATTTCTGCCACCTCCGTTTACACTCATGGACCTAAAATTGAACAAAACTGACGGAAAAGCAAACGGAAAGTGACGCTGATAGCCTTTTCTCTTTTCGTGTCTGATAACTAATCATAGCGGAAAAGGATTTAAAAGTGTGACAACCACAAAAACTATTTTGCTGATTTTATGCTGACGTAAAATGTAGTTTCCTTGAGAAGGAAAATGCAGAAAATTTTATGTATTTGTAGAAATCCTATAGTCTTTACATTGTTTAGCAAATCAACAAGTGCAACAGTTTGGGACTGGTAAGATTTTTTTTTATTTACTTTTATTTTTTTAGATTTTACCTTTTTTTTTTTTTTTTTAATACTTTTATTCAGCAAAGATTAATCGAAATTAATTAAAACTAACAGTAAACACTTACATAAAAAAATTACCATTCCAACTAAATGCTGTTCTTTTGAAGAAAAAAATATACTGCATAATGCTTTACACAAAAATATTAATCAGCACAACTGTTTTTAACATTGATAATAATAATAAATGTTTCTTGAGCACCAAATCAGCATGTTCGAAGGATTTATGAAGGTTCAGTTTTACCATCACAGGAATAAATTACATTTTAAAATATGTCAAAACAGAAACAGTTGTTTTAAAATGTAATAATATTCCACAGTATGACTGTTTCACTGTATTTTCGATCAAATAAATACAGCTAATTGTAATTTAAATTGATTAAAATAATTAAGAAATAATTTTACTGCAATTCAGTTTATTAAAGAAATATGTCATTAGTAAAACAAATGTTTTATTATCACAAGTTAGGAAAGGTGAATGTTAAAAGTGTGATCGTAGTGCACTGAAATATGTTTAAAAATATATTAAGAGAACAAGAAAGAAAAACTGAATGGTTTGAAAATACTCCGGCAGGATATGCGAGTGGCTCAAGCATTCCAGCTGCAAGTATGAGCCCATAGGAAAGGCCCTTGGGGACAACACAAAAGTGCAGACCACTTTGTCTCCCTTTCTCCCCCACACCGTTTCATCTTAATTCAAAAGCCACATCCTGCTATCCTCTCATCTTTTGGCTTAAGGAATTATGGAATGATCCTTGAGGTTATAAAATCCGGACAGTCCAAGGTTTGCCTCCAAGGCATACGAACTGCCTCAGACTTCTGTTTCTTAGATTCCCCCATCCTGTTCCCAGTACAAAAAAATGTCACCTCAGAACCCTGTTGTCAAAGTGTCTCATCGGGCTGAAGCTGATAGGACTAATTGTTGACAGGTGCTTCTAATGCCTGGCTTTGAAAAGTGAGTCTGATTTACGACAGGGCTTCTGAGGCCCACTTTCATGGCTGCTGGTAACCATCCCTACACGGGACGCCAAACATTCCGGCCCTGTGATGTCACAGCTTTGCTCAACTCAAAGTGAAAAAAAGTTATTTATATTGTCTTTAAGACAGTCAAAAGTCACTCAAATTAATTATATGATTATATTAAAGAAGAGGAGTAAGAAGGAGGAGAATATAATAAATTATATATATCAAAAAATATATATTTTTGTTTATATACAGGGTTGGCCAAAATTATTAGAGCAAAAAATGCTTTTTTTTTTTCTTTTTTTTTTTTAGGAAAAAAAAAAATGCTTTTAAGTCAGTTATTTCTATCTTTTGCTGTAGTGTGCCAGAAGGAAATATCAGTTTACATTTTTCATTTTGCCATTAATTGTAATAATCCAGTGAGATTTTTGTTTGCACAAGGAGTCTGACAACAGCCAGTGCTCCACACAGAGATCTGATCTCATCATCATCCAGTCTGTCTGGAATGACTTGAAGAAACAGAACAAACTGAGACAGACTAAATCCAGAAGAACTGTGGCAACGTCTGCAAGATGCTTCAAGAGACCCCCCTACAGCAAAAGACAGAAATAACTGACTTAAAACCATTTTTCAGCTGGTGAAAATACTAGTGTTCTAACAATTTTGGCCACCACTGTAGGTTTAAAAGTTAAAATTTTTATTTGAAAAATGTGGCACTTATACACTGTTAAATAAGCTAAATGCAATGCAGCAGTCAAATAGTTTATTTTAATGCTTAGATCTGTATTCAGATCTGGATAAAAGCAGCTTCCAAAAATATTACATTAAATTAATAATAAATAAATAAATAATAGTAAATTATATTTATATAGTCCATAAGATTTCAATTTTAACTTTAAAAATGTGGTGATGCTGAAAATCAGCAAGACGCAATGCAGTAGCCAAACAGATTATTTTGATACATTATTCTGAGGTAGGGCTGCACGATAAATCACATGCGATATTAACGCGCATCTTATCAGAAAGCCGGTTCTGTAATCAGTGGTAAATCTCCATCACATTGAGCAGTATTAACTACACATAGCCGTTGTTCACTGACGAGCTGCGCAAAACCACGTTTATATTCGCACAATTTTTTGCGCAGCTCGTCAGTGAACAACGGCTATGTGTAGTTAATACTGCTCAATGTGAAAGCACGCACGTGATGGAGATTTACCGCTGATTACAGAACCGGCTTTACTGATAAGATGCGCGTTAAATATCGCATGCGATTTATCGTGCTGCCCTATTCTGAGGCTTCTAAATTTTATAAATAAATAAATAAATATTGTTTACATTTACTGATTTACATTTACTTTACTTAATTTAGTCAACTATTTTTTGAAGCGTCAGTATAGTGTCATTTGATATATGACTTTGGGTGACAGAGAAAGTGAGGCTCTCTTGAGCCCTTTGGGAAGCTCTGCAAACACCCCGCGGCTGACTGGAGCCTCCTGTGTCCGTATCAGCGGGGTGCTTTCGGTGAGCACGGGGGTATTGATTAATCAGACCTCTGCTTTATGGAGTAGGGAGTGCTGATGGGCAAACAACACTGACAGGCGTACCAGCTCCTGTGGCAATCAGCAGAGATGAGAAGTGTGTGTGTGTGCGGGTGGGTGAGTGGGTGTGTGTGTACGTAACGGTCAGACGTGGTCTGTGTAAGTGTGTTTGCAGCCAGGGACAGTGTTTGACAAACATCACACAGTGTTGTGACAGGAGGTCAACAGGCTCAATCACAAGGTCTGGTAGGGTGACTCAATTAACCCCTGAATGGCCAGGATCTACATGCTCCATTTCAAATTCTAGTAAGATGGCTATTAGCTTAGTGAAAATTAATTCAAGAAACGTAAATGCATGAAAAATTTAAATATTACATATTAGAATTTCTATTTAATTCAATATGTTACTAAAAATATATAAAAAATAGTCCAGAGTAATTAATTAAAAATGGACAATTTTCCATCTCAGTAGGTTTTCAACAGAACGACTAGTGTTACTAACTTATGAACGATTGCAGAAGTGCAAGAGGTGCATAATGTTTCCCAAAAAAAAAGAAGAAGTGTTTGCTAACCATGTAGTGGTGATCCAGATGGGCTACTAGAGAGGCCAGGAATGGGGCTACACCGGCCGCCCTGTTTGCTGCTCAGCTCTTGCTCGATCTCCTCCAGTCCGGCACTCTTCTGGAAACGGCTCATGCGATTGACCACACGTGGAGACATGTGCGTGCGTGCACATGGCGCTCCACCATACGGATTGATGGGAAAGACATGAGAGGTACCACGAAGAGTACTGATCACCACCCAGCGGCAGTCATGGCTGAAGCAGATGTCCTGCACCTAGCGCAAGCGTAAGAGAAGACAAAGGAAAGAAGCTTTCAGCTTTGAGTTGGTTCGGATTTGAAAATGAACAATCACCATTAAAATGTATGAAATCACCATTACAGGAGTGTAGGGTCTTGAGTAAACGGCATGAACAATACAGTAATGCCTTTCCTTCAAAATGTGGCTTAAAGTCAGAATGTAACAGAGGTAGCGGATCTTCTTTTGTATTGGGACATTATCATTCTTTGCTTGGTTGGAACAGCAGCTAGGCTAATTTTTTTCCCCTATTGGCTTTTCTGTTTCTGCCATGGGATGACTGAACACCTGAGAAGAGATGATGCCAACCCCTTCAAGGACCTCAGATGATGACAACCCTGAACCAATATACAAAACTACCAATTTTTTCTATAAGTTTGATTACAACATATAATCATTGCTGTTAATAGTGTTCACCGTTTCTTTGAATTCATGTCATTTACTAATTGCATGATTTTTACTGTGCATTTCTGCCAAATGGACATCACCTTGACATAGTCACCACTGATAAACTACTCCTAAATGTAATGTAGAAACTTTCATTTTCTGGAAAGCTGCTTTGTTTGCAACGATTTGTATCATGAAAAGCACTATACAAATAAACATGAATGTAAAAAAAAAATGTAGTGTGGACTTGGTTCTATCCATTGGTTGTTGATTGGATGAAAGCAGATCTGAAAGCAAGCTTTCAGTGGAAGAGGAGGTCTAAATTATTGGAGAAGTCTGCCACACATCAACAGAGTAATATTTGAATTAAAATTACTAGGATAAAAACATATACACACATACATACACACATATATATATATATATATATAAAAAGTTTGGGATCAGTAAGATTTTTAATGCTTTTTAAAGAAATTATGCTCATCAAGGCTGTATCTATTTATTCAAAAATACAGAAAAAAAGTTATTTTGTGAGTTATTATTGCAATTTAAAATAAAAGTTTTCTATTTAAATATACATTCAAATATAATTTATTGCTGTGAAGCAAAGCTGTATTTTCAGCACCATTACTCCAGTCTTCAGTGTCACAGGATCCTAATATGCTGATGTTATCAATGATAGAAACCGTTGTGCAGCTTAATATTTTTTGGGACCTGTGATAATTTTTTTAAAGATTATTTGATGAATAGAAAGTTAAAAAGATCAGTGTTTATTCAAAATAGTAATTTGTTACAATATACTTTACTATTCAAACATTTGGGGTCAGTAACTTTTTTAAAAGAAATTAATACTTTTATTCAGCAATGGTGTGTTACATAAATAAAAAGTGATAGTAAAGACTTATATTGTTAGAAAATATTTCCATTTTGAATAAATGCTGTTCTTTTTTACTATTTATACTATTTATTCATCAAAGAATCAAAAAAGTATCACAGGTTCCAAAAAATATTAAGCAGCACAACAGTTTCAACACTGATAATAAATCAGCATATTAGAAGGATTTCTGAAAGATCATGTGACACTGAAGACTGGAGTAATGGCTGATGAAAATTCAGCTTTGCTTCACAGAAATAAATTATATTTAAAAGTATATTAAAATAGAAAACCAATATTAGAAATTGCAATATTATTTCATAATATTACTGTTTTTTCTGTATTTTTGATCAAATAAATACAGCCTTGATGAGCAAAAGAGACTCCATTAAAAAACATTAAAAATCTTACTGATCCCAAACTTTTGAATGGCAGTGTGTACATATTAAAAAAATGAAATGTATGCATGGATGAATCATTCACAATAATATCAATAACATGCATTTAGTTTTCATTTCATGGCAACTTTAAGGAATGCAACCTGACTTCTGTATGCATTTTCTCTGGTGCTAGTCATAAGAAAGTTTCTGGCAAAGATAAACAGATAAAATCTCTAAAAAATGTGTTACGAAGCGCTTGAGAGGAATGAGAAAAAGGTGTTTATAATCACGCCAAGGCGTGGGGAAGAGGTTTCAGAACTGATCACCAGATCTTGGGTAATGGCATGAAAAACCTGAATATCTAACCTGGCTTTTGCATTTAAACATCTTAAAATAGATGAACCATGTAACTGCAACAGTGTGTCCCGTGCTTCTTGTGTTTACCACTCTTATGTTCAGTCTAGGCTATTTTTTAATTGTTGGTCTGTGTATACATGCATCAGATAGCCGTAGAATCACACCCTGTTTTTTCAGCATCTTGCATCATGAGCATAGTTTTACATGACAGCGTCTTGAAATACTATTCTGTTTTTGAATACAAAAACGTGCCCTATGTGTATGAAGCTCAATGAAACTGATGGTAGACCTTCTCCAAGACATGGTTCAGAGACCATACACTTGGCTTTACCATACAGCACTCTGCCGTCAGCAAGGTTCAGCTAATGGCTTTTTTACGACTCTTTTTATGGATAGCCATCAGCTACTGGAATGCAGCTGTCTGGAGTTCTGTCTGATTCTAGGTCATTCTGCTCTATCTGTCTCAGATCAGTCTCACGCTGAATACGCCAACTCAGAGATGAGCAAATTAATTAAGATCAATGACCATTTCCTGTTCGGGGACGACGCCACTCCAGAGATTTTCACCTGGAGGTGTAAAAATAAGATTTAGGTGACCAAAGACAAGGACTGAGATCTATAAATTAGGTAATCAGACATAAATCAAATGTGCTGCCCAGGACAGCTAAAACAGTGTATGGCTTTAGGCAACGCAGCCTGGTGGGTTATTTACCTTCACGCACACTAAGGTCAGTCCGGAGCAGGCTGGGAGTCGGTACAAGCACAGTCAATCAGCCAGTCAGATAAGGCCGGGTGCCTGCGCCTGCCCACAAGGCATTATCACTCCTTTTATTTGTTCTGCTCAAGATAATGCGTCTTGGAGGGTGCTTGTTTTCTGCAGTTTGTGCTGTTTACAATGCCAGATCAAAGCCAACGCATGGCCAGGCAGCAAACCTGGCATGAGTCGGTGACAGATTAACCACCTTTCTCATCTCAGCGGAGCTGCAGGCCACCTCAGCCCTGTGCTCACAGAGGAGGGAAAATGAGAATGTTTTACACGCTCGGTTCCAGCTAATCACACCTTCAATATAAGGAGCAGGAACGAGAAGAACTTAAACTTCACCCACGGACCAGTAACCAGCCTGCAATTCGGCCTTTTTCACCTGGCTCAGAGTGCACTTGAAGGGTAAAGGGACAAAGAGAACTGGGAAAACATAAAAAAGGAAGAAAAAAAACATATACTAATGGGCTTAATAAATAAGTGCAATAGGAGTTAAAAACGACAAGTCTTTCTTATAGACATAACACTTGACTGTGCTTCAGTTACATGGCACTCATATGCGAATAAGGTACAGTTTTTCTTCCACTGCAGTGTTAATATTTGTCATGTAATGAAGGATTTAAATTGGGATAAATACTTTTAGACATCGAACGTGTCAGGGAGACTGCGAGAGTGTGAGTCTATGAACTAGAGCAGATATCAGGTTTGTGTGCATATCCAAACATGACACTGGCTGAGTAAGTAAGGGTCTAGGCCCTTTCGGAATAAATATTAGTTCTACTTAAGCAAATAAAACCTTACGATTTGCCAACTGAAGGAGATTTTGTTGTGGAACAGCTGCAAGGCTAAATGGATGAAACAGCATTTAGAAGAGAGGAAAACTAAATCACTGCAGTTATTTCCCAAACTGATTTGTGCAATAACCCAATAGATCACAAAAGTAAATTAAACTTTAAAGCACCCAGATAGATTACCAAGGCTTGGCAGACGCTAATGATCAGATCATGTCCTTAGATGTCCGCTTCAACTATTCAACCTGAGTAACGTTACATAAATACAAAAAAGCATGTGGATTTGACCATCTTGTTTTGGTTTAAAATACTAACATACATAAACAAAAATAAATAAATGGATTGAAGAATGATCAAATATATTTTGAGTAAATAAAAAATCAAATAAAAATAATTAAAAATAGAATATCTATTGAAGTGAAAAAATTATTAAATTAAATTAAATTAAAATGATATACAGTTCAAATCAATTTAAAGAATAAAATAAAATAAAAAAAAATTTAAATTAAATTTGGGGCTTCAAATCAAGTGACTTGAATAGAGATGTGCTGTTACTTCTCCAAGCAATCAAACCTGCCAGGTGATACTAACGATTCTAGTTTTCACAGCAGTAAAGAAGTAATTGTGTTCTAGTCGTAAATTGTAAACTATATTTTACTGCGCTTAAGTGGGGCAAAAATGCAACAAACATCTGGCTAAATGGATGGACAAATTACAAAGCCCAATTCTGTTTCAAATAACACCATTAGTTGTTCTACATTCGTAATTTATAAAGCTGGGATGAAATGGGAAAATTACGGAGCCTATATTCAGTTCTGCCAAGGGCCTATTTCCTGGGATTTAAGAGAGAGTGGTGTAAAGTCACAAGCGCGACCATATTGTCCCAGTGGGAATGTCCTCTCGTCCATGACCTCATAGCCTAAGATATCATAGGTGTTACAAGCCCCAAGCTTGACCCCAAGCAAGAGTAAAAGCTCCGGTCAGGAGCACACTCTAAGCTCTCACCAGCCATCTGAGGTATTTTTAGCAACTTTTCTCTTCTTATGCAGCCTTGGTGATTGAAAACACATTGGCAACACTAATAGTTTCAGGTCTTCGGATTCCAGAGTGTTGAAAACTGAACATGGGAGCCACAGGGGAGGAAGTTTTAGAATAAGCAAAGACTAACTGCTGAGAGCACAAATATTTCACATGGATCCACGTAAATTTGTTTTGAACTGGGGGCAAAAGTTCTCCAGGTACAAAAAAATTAATGTGCTGTGACTATGGAAAAGCCCTGATGCTCTTAACCTTTAGTTGGTGGACAGTTGAACAGTAACTAGATCTTCAGATTACAGTTACACTCATATTTTTCAAGTATACTGCAGTAGCAAGGGACTATGTATCTCATAGTCATGTTTAAGAACAATCAGAAGGGTCATACCAACACTTTTTGTCTAACATACACTGCCCTACATACTACAAAAAAGCCAGAGATGACAGAACCGTGTTGGAGCTCAGTTGTACCAAGTCTTATGTCTCTTGACAGTATTTAGAAAACATGCAGGGATTCACCGACGATGAAAAGCATGTTCAAATTGCACATTTCTAGAGCCATACAACCGTAAACAGTTGTGGGTGGCCCACAAAGACTTTAAATGATTATGCTAATGATTAAAAGAGTCCGGAAAGGCAATATTTCATCTCAATAACTCCCCCGAAAATAGCCTGAGTGTACATAGGCATGTGCGTGTGAGCAAGGGATGGAACGGGGAGCTTTGAAGTTTGAATTAATATCCCACACTGTCCATGTATTACTTGAATGCAAGACAGTTTCTTTTTGTTGTTGATACATCTTCCATTTGGAGGATACATGTTTATGAGTTTGTACCATATGTGCGTGCTAAAGGACAGTGCTGAAAGTAAGGAAAAGCTTTTATGTAAATGTGTGTACATGTGTGTTCTTACCTTAGCCTCAGTCTCTCCTCTGTGAAGCGTGTATAGATGATGAACCGCACTCTGGGAAGATGCCCATGGGTGAGTCAAGTTTTCTCTTCTTATGCAGCCTTGGTGATTGAAAACACATTGGCAACACTAATAGTTTCAGGTCTTCGGATTCCAGAGTGTTGAAAACTGAACATGGGAGCCACAGGGGAGGAAGTTTTAGAATAAGCAAAGACTAACTGCTGAGAGCACAAATATTTCACGTGGATCCACGTAAATTTGTTTTGAACTGGGGGCAAAAGTTCTCCAGGTACAAAAAAATTAATGTGCTGTGACTATGGAAAAGCCCTGATGCTCTTAACCTTTAGTTGGTGGACAGTTGAACAGTAACTAGATCTTCAGATTACAGTTACACTCATATTTTTCAAGTATACTGCAGTAGCAAGGGACTATGTATCTCATAGTCATGTTTAAGAACAATCAGAAGGGTCATACCAACACTTTTTGTCTAACATACACTGCCCTACATACTACAAAAAAGCCAGAGATGACAGAACCGTGTTGGAGCTCAGTTGTACCAAGTCTTATGTCTCTTGACAGTATTTAGAAAACATGCAGGGATTCACCGACGATGAAAAGCATGTTCAAATTGCACATTTCTAGAGCCATACAACCGTAAACAGTTGTGGGTGGCCCACAAAGACTTTAAATGATTATGCTAATGATTAAAAGAGTCCGGAAAGGCAATATTTCATCTCAATAACTCCCCCGAAAATAGCCTGAGCGTACATAGGCATGTGCGTGTGAGCAAGGGATGGAACGAGGAGCTTTGAAGTTTGAATTAATATCCCACACTGTCCATGTATTACTTGAATGCAAGACAGTTTCTTTTTGTTGTTGATACATCTTCCATTTGGAGGATACATGTTTATGAGTTTGTACCATATGTGCGTGCTAAAGGACAGTGCTGAAAGTAAGGAAAAGCTTTTATGTAAATGTGTGTACATGTGTGTTCTTACCTTAGCCTCAGTCTCTCCTCTGTGAAGCGTGTATAGATGATGAACCGCACTCTGGGAAGATGCCCATGGGTGAGTCAAGATTTGGAAAACGTGGAAGTCATGGCCAAGGGTGTCTGCAGTCACCAATAACATACCTGTAGATCAGAAAAAGAAAAGTGCCATTTATTTCACCATAGTGCACCTTCTTAGCACAACTAAAGTATTTGTGACACAGGAAGTGATGAATTAAGGGCTGTGATTAAAAAAAGTGACATAACTAATCAGTTTTCTGAGATGAACTGCAATTTATTGCAATGATAACAAAAAAAATCAAAAGTTTTGGAGCAGCATGATGAAAGGCACATACTTAAGAAAATACAGCAATACAAATTGTGATAAAACATTAGCACACCCTCAGGAAATGGAAAAAATATTATTTATATATAAGTGGAAAATAACATAATGCTTGATTAATATGGATCATTCAAAGCAACCAATGCAGCATTTATTTCCTGAGGCTACAGAAATGTTCCTCCATGCTTTTTAAGTTTTAGGATTTTCCCAGCCCTAGTTAAATTTTCTTGGGGTTTACCATGTGAATTTGGGAACTGGTGATGGGATCAAAATGAATTCTTTCTGAATTGTGGCCTAGTAATAGTCCATGTTTATCTATCAATGAAAGTGGCAGGAAGTGCCACTTGAAATATATATATAAATCTCATTTGAACATTTACTTGCTTTAAGTCCACCAATTCTGGGCTTAAACTGAGAAGAACATACTGCAAGTCAAAAACAATGGCACCCAGACTGCCGTCAAGTACTGAGCATTTCATGAAACACGTTTACATGGTTGTAAAGGGTAATCGTAATCGTGCAATTTGTGTTCTAGAATTAACTGCATGCCAAGATCTTCCCTCAGCTGTCCGGGCCAGAGAGTATATGGATCTGTTTTAAACACAACCGCAGGAGAACCCAAGTGGAACCTCTGATGACAGGTCCTCTCATTTTCCCACTTTTATTTGAAGTTAGTGAAACTACAGAAAGTATAAGCTCTTACTGTAAACAACACACTTACTAAACCACACCAGAAAAAAAAAACCCTGAAGCGAACCTTCATGGCAACGCAATGCCGCATACAACTTATTCCTAAAAACAGTGTGACAGCTCTACAGGCTATTTTCCACACATATGAAAGTCTGGTCACTACCGCTTTGGAAAGTTTCTCCAACACTACGATTAAGATGGATTTAGCCGCTGGCTCTCGATCTCACTGCTGTAATTTAAGATGGCAATAATTAGTGATTTTCCAATGCTGAATCTCTAATGCCGAGTTCACAGAGGGGTTTAATTTGTGGCAAGCATTTATTGGGTGGTCTGACAAATCTAAAAAGGAGGATATCGTCAGAAGATCATACAAACTCCCGCACACATGACAATGGAACAGCGGCTGTCCTAGATGAGCTCATCTCTCCTATTTCTGCCCGTGTTATTTTCGTTTTCACACTTAGGAATAGCATCTGCTTTAGGTGTGGCTTTGCCATCTCATTGAGCGTTAAGACAGGAAGCAAGGGGGATGGGTTGTGGCAGTGACGGAAGGGTCACACTGAAATTGCGCATACAAAAAAGAAAAACAGAGTCGACCAGTGAATTAGACAGCGGTTAGCTATTTATGCTGTATCAGAAGACTAAACCAAGTTACGGCCTGGCCATAAACTAACCCACGCCCCAAATGAGGTGCCAAGCCACAAGAAGCATTTGCGTCAACTGGGAATACATGGAAGAGAGTGCCTTCTAATTATAGAGGCTACAAACGGAAGCGCAGAGTGATTAGGAGTTTAGGCGCTGCGGTATGTTTATCTGGGAGCTTCCTATTCCTCACCCCGCCGCTCTCGCGCTCACCCTGGCTTTGACAGATGAGGCTTGGCCAGCTTGTTGGGACACAAGTTTGCTGATGGAACACTCTGTTCTCCAAAAGCCAGTGGAGAATGGAAACCGAGCGCTGGGGCTTTTGTGGCCTTGTTGAAATACAGGGCCTCGTGAAGAGGCGTCAGTTGGTTAGCCTGTGGGAAGCTAAATTAAAAAGAGAGCTTCTCTGTGCTGGTAAGCAGCCATAAAATTTTAACGAACCTGAGATGTTAAAGCAATTTTTGACATCCTATTTATAACACCTCGATGTCAAGGCAAAAGAGTAATTTATGACTTTTAACGAGAAATTATGTGAGTAAATGGGGGTTTTGTGTATTTGAGCTACCCAACGGACCAATGAACCAAGCTGTATCTTAATTAATAAATGCAGTAAATGGGAAATGCAGTATTCAAAAAGCATCAGTGTCTAATTCTGTGGGTGAGTGTTTTAGTAATCGCAGTAAGACAAGGCTCTTTAGCTTAAAAAGTCATTGCTCGGCTACAAAATGGGTGCACTCCAAGAATAGTGTCCCAACAAAGTCTTGATTCCTGCTCTAACTGTATATATATATATATATATATATATATATTAAAAAAACTCATGCACTACATTTTTTGAAAACTGAACAAATTTTGATGCACTTTGAAACGGTGCCCTGTGAAAACAAAAAGAATAAAACAGAGCATTGTAACATCTGAAGTCCCCATTTGGGAACAATGCAAATTATCTACAGGTCTGAAATTACCCTAAAATCCAATTTTAAAATGCATGTAAATATTGTGTTTGTCGATTTGTATTTCAAAGCTTTTAAAATTTTAAATCATCAAAAGCAGTTTACTTCTGCAAGTTAGGACGGTCTGCGTTTATATGAACTGCAGACAAAAAGCAACCCAGATTATCCTTTCAAGGAGATTTGGCGGTTTCTCGCTAAAAGGCACCCCAAACAAACCGGTATTCGACACCAAAAATTGTAGAGTAATTCTTCATACTTGCATTCATCATTTTGTTGTTCTCCCCTTAACAAGTCTTTAAACACAAAACATCTGCGAAACCTCCTCACAGCCATGCTTTATTTCAAAAGTGTCTTAGCCATTCTCCCCGACCAACTCGATGATCTCAGCAGCCTGACAAGCAGAGGCCTCCAACTTGGCAAAGTCGGAAAACTGAAACAAAAGTCTCCCTTTCAAATTAACAACACTCGTCTAAGACCTTTGAAAAAGAGGAAATCTCAAATTATAAACATGTGAATAAACCTTTAAAGGGTGGACGCTGGGAATCGGTGCGCTCTAATACCGCAGACACGAACTTTATGCAAAGGAGAAAAAAAAGAACAAATAAACACATCAATCTCAGCATTTTGTCCTTGTGGCTGCCCACATTAGTTGTAAAAGCACGACCGTGCGTGCATGTGTGTTTGTGGTCCTTTGTGAGTCCATTGGACGGCCTCCTCTCCTGTCATGCTGCACTTGTGGAGGCGTTTATGAAAGCTGTGGAACACACACACACACACACACACACACACATACATACACAGGGTTGCACATCTCACATCAAAGCCGCCCACTCAAGCCTGGAGCGAGCAACACTCACTTAGTCCGGAGGCCACCCTCACTCCAACCATCAGATAACAGTACTAAAGAGAGGAGGAGACCGGCATGGGTCAACATGCAGTCAATAACTTGTTAATCTTTTACAGACTAAGTGAGAACTTCTAAAAGCTGGGCTGTTTGATCCAACCTGGAGGCGGCTCGTGTTTGTGTGTGTGTGGAGTCGAGGACGGGGTGGCAGATTGGGGCCTGGCGCGGTGACTGTGCAGTGTTTCGCGGTGAGCCGGGCAGATGTAATGCCGTCTCCAGTTTCCATTCCTCTGGCCGGCAGGGTTGACTGCTGTGGATTCCAGAGGGGGCTTGCGAGCACGTTTCACAGCATCGTGCGGCCAGGGACACTGTTTATCTAGGCACGTTGGTACCAAGGATATGCTCTTTAAACATGGTACACTGCTCCTGTGGGCATGCTGGCTTGGAGAGGCATTCAACGCTCTTAGCTACGAAACCACATCCACAATTCAATTGAGAGCTTTGAGGAAGGGAGGGGAAAAAAGTAGGTGGGAGGAGGAAAAAGGTGCCCACGGTTCATTTGATCCACATTCAAGTGTAACGAAGGAGAATGTTTATGTATTTGCTTTACAGCCAAACCACCTGTAAGCGCTTGAATAATAATAGATCATAAAGGCCTTTTCTCGGCAGGAGGCAATCATTACTTTGATACAACACTTAAACGAAATTCGCCTTCTAGAGAAACGGCGTAGCCAAGGTGACGACGAGGTCACGTCCATTAAGGAAGGATGGATGTGGAGGTTATCACTAGGCCCACACGGAATCTGCACACTTTTTTACTCACATTTCCTGAGCTGTTTTTGGAGGAAATTCTGTCTAATAATAGGTATCAGACTTTCTCGGGATAAGTCGTATACAGTCGTGGTCAGGATTATTGGCACCCTTGGTAAATATGATCAAAGAAGGCTGTGAAAATGTATCTGCATTGTTAATCCTTTTGATCTTTTATTAAAAAAACTATTCACAAATATCTAACCTTTCATTGAACTAAAACAATTGAAAATGGGGTAAAATCTCATTATGAAATACAGGTGCATCTCAATAAATTAGAATGTTGTGGAAAAGTTCATTTATTTCAGTAACTCAACTCAAATTGTGAAACTCGTGTATTAAATAAATTCAATGCACACAGACTGAAGTAGTTTAAGTCTTTGGCTCTTTTAATTGTGATGATTTTGGCTCACATTTAACAAAAACCCACCAATTCACTATCTCAACAAATTAGAATATGGTGACATGCCAATCAGCTAATCAACTCGAAACACCTGCAAAGGTTTCCTGAGCCTTCAAAATGGGTAAATGTTTTTCTCAAATACACGTTGGACACAATTATTGGTACCACTAGAAATTCTTAGGAGTAAAATATCTGTGAAGTATATTCCCATTCATATTGACAATTTTGAGCATACCAGGGTGATTATGAACATGAAATTATCCAGCCATGGCTTCCTGATTCACAGGAATATAAATAGGAGAGAAAACAAAGGCCAAATTCCCTTAATCATCCATCACAATGAGAAAAACCAAAGAATATATTTCTGATGTGCAGCAAAAGATAACTGAGCTTCACAAATTAAATAGTGACTTTAAGAAAAGAGCTAGAGCAGTGAAAATTCCCATTACCACCATCAGG